ACAAGGGCAACATCCCTTTTAATACCGGCAAGATGTTTCTTAAACCGGTTTATACCTCTTTTTGTATCATTTTCACAAACATTGCATTTAACGCAATTTTTGTCATTTGGATTCGGGTTGTATCCATATTTCCAATCCGGATCTTCACTCTGACTAACTCCTGAAGAAGACATCTCAAAATAAAACAAGCAATCTAAAAAATGCACTTACTTTGGTTGCTCGAACTCCAAACTTTGATAAACACTTCGATGATTCGATCCAATGAAATTTAGTTTTTTGGAGGTTTCTTTCTGTCTAAAAGGGGTTCTTGTGGGTTTAGGTTTCAAATGAACCTAAAACCCATCATTCTAAACTTTTATATCTTGAAAAAAACGAAAAAAAAAAAGAGGTATTTTTCCACCTCTGGGACCACCGCCCAGTTTGGCCGCCTAGGACTGGGCGATGTGCCTAGGCCTTTTGGACCGCCTAGGCGCTGGGCAGTCCGTTTTTTTGAACAATGGTTACATTTAATATATTGTTACAAACGTACATAAAGTTCTTGTCAAGTTGTGGGTTCAGATGCGGTTTGCTCTTTTTTCCATTTTATTTTTTCTGTTTCAACTTGTGTTATTTGTTCACATCTCCGTTCTTAATTATATGGTCTCATATTTCTTAAGACGTTCGATTTTGTTGCTCTGGGCATGCATTTGTTGTTTCTTCAATTTAATTGTTCATGAACCAACTTTTGAAGTTTTGCTTGTTCTTATATTCAATGTTCAAAAAAATGCTGGGCGGTGCCTAGGCAGAAGGAAGAACAAGGGTAGGAGGTGCATTAGGAAACCTAGGTGGCCTAGGTGGAAGAACATGGCTAGGAGGTGTCTGATCTAACTGCTTTCGGTAAATTCTGTGTAAAAAATGCATAGAGGCATAACACATTAAGAATGCACAACATATAGTCCATACATAGTCTATGCACTCCATACCATTTGTCCATGCTCCATATACATGGTTAAAAAAAATCTATATTGAGGTTCAAACCATTTGAGATTTGGACAATTATCTAACAACACATTAAGAAAAGGGATAGACCATTTATTTTTTGTACATGGAGATCACAATCATGCCCACTCATTAGATGTCAAATTGAATGGCTTGGGGTGAGTCACGAAGTCCAAGAAATTTTTTTTTGAACTTTGTTTCTATTCAATGAGACTCTTACAATCACCCACCCATTTTGAAATTTAAGGGACAAGAATGATTGTGACCTTTATGTACAAAAGATAAATGGTCTATTTGTAGACAATCCCTTAAGAAAATACGAAAATATAATCCAGCATACAAATTCAGTTCTAGACAATACATAGTCTGAAGTCATACACTCCATACTCCATACTCCATCTGCATAAGAGGGAAAAAAAGGATAGAAATATAGAATTGAAGACTCAAAGAGTCTTCAGCCATCGTCAGAAAAAGTGGGGTCAGCTGCATCATATGCATTGGAGTCGTGCTCCTCATCATCAGAATCATCTCCCTCCTCAACATAACGCATGTCATCCTCTATTTCTTCTAAATTTGCTTCCCCTTCCTCGTCCTCTGTGAAGATCTAGTGGCCCTAAGAGGGTTGGCTGTTGTACCCATAGTTATCGGGATCTCCTCCCTTGCTTGGTGATCCCTTGTAGAACTTCGATCCTCTCGATCCCAAAGCGGATCTCGCCTAAAACTCAATTTAGTGTTTTCGGGATCTCGTTCCATCTTATAAGGGAACGAGTTCGTTACAATTTAATTTCGTGTTCGTAAACATTACAAGATCTAGTTCCATAGTTTTATGGTTTGTGCTCCAGAGTGCATTGGGGATCTAGATTCCAAAATAATGGAACACAAGCATCGCCATATATGGCATCCAGATCCAACCAATATGGGATCGCTTTATAGTTCCATATTTATTTCATAGAAGGACTAAGCCTACATGTTATTGGTTAACAACGCTGAGAGCTACATTTTAAAGCCATGGATCCTTATTACCTACACAAGGTAACTTGTGTTCTAAGAAAATGGAGCTTGTTCCTATAAAAGTTATACTGCGCTCCATAATATTTTGGAACCTTTTTAATAATGCGCTCCTTGAGTTGAGAAACTCAAAAAAATGCCCTTCTGAACTTCCCTTCTTATGTATAGAATCTCACACCTTTATATAATAATTTTCGATCCTATGTAATAAAGGAGCTCGATCCCCAACACACATGGACCTCGATACCGACCTTTGAGGCTGTACAGGCATCGATCCCTAACACAGGGATCTTCAGTATAGCTTAGATCTGCCGATCCCGGCCTTGATTCCAGAACTGTTCCCGTTCATGTACCCAACAACTATGGTTGTATATGAGGTCTCCATAACGATAACCATATACCATATCAATCTGTCTGACCTCATCATAATCAATTCATCATATCGTTGTTGGAAACGTCTGTGATTTTGAATCGTTTCTGGAATCGGAATCGCGAAATCGCGTGCATCAGAAGTTTCGGAATCTAGGAATCGCTGTCCGTACGATTTAGATTTGAGAAAAATGATTCTCACTATTTTGGAATCGAGATTCAAAAAATTTGGAATCGTGTTTCCTATTTGTAAGAATCGATGTCCCTTGATGTTGGAATCGCATTTCATACCTATATGGAATCTCACATGACCCCACTTGTTTCGGTGGTTGCTATTATCGTGATTCCTAGAAATATGGAATCGTGATTCCTAAAATTCTACAATCGTTGTCCTCATCAATTTGGAATCAACATTCTCACCATTCCGGAATCGTGATTCTCCCCATATTGGAATCTAGATTCTCCCCTTACTAGAATTGGAAACCAATTCCCTCCGGTATATAAGAGAAGTATTCAAAAAATATATAAACTTACCCATTACTACAAGATCAAATTTTGATATGTATATACTCAGTCCAAGACTCCAAGTATTAATGTCAACCTTTATGATATCTTTGTGGACAATCTCATACAATGGACTCGGTCTATCAATAACCCTATTATATCAATCCTATTATGGCTACAAGGTCTGGAGCTAGTCTACGGCATACAAAGAGTGCGAACAAGGGTAAGCTCATTTTATCTCCTTTCCTTGAATTATAAAATACATACATGACATAGTAATTCTTCTTTGTTAAATGTAGTTTTGAGTCTTTTGACTTTTGAAAATTGAGTTATTCAATTTTTAGTCAATTTCTCCGATATTTAATGATTAATTTAATCTAAGACACCACACAAGGCACTTTGCTCATATCGTTATTATCTTCTTGTTCTACTTGAAGAAAAACATTTTTATCCTCTTATTCAGCTCTAAGAAATGACAGTGCCAATCATATATTAAACATTATTACATTAGTAGTTTAGTACCCTCACCATTACCAAACATTATTAAATTTGAAGTAACATTTTTTTAGTATTATTTATCCTTGATAAGTGTTCTTAAAAAGTAACATGGAATGAAGGATGGGAATTAGTAAATAAGAAAATAAAAAATTTAACATATTACTCATATTTTAAATTTTGATTTTATTGCCATGTACAACAACTTCAAATTCTCTCACGCTCTCATACATGTTGCGCTCACTCATGATTGAGCACACATCTACTCTCCCTATGCTCACATTACTTTTATGTATATATTATTTAGTTGAACACTTGAAGTTCCTATTCTCACGTTACTTTCATGTTATATTATTTAGTTGAAGACTTGAAGTTCCTATTCTCGCATTACTTTCATATTATGTTATTTAGTTCAAGAAATGAAGTTTCTATTCTCACATTACTTTCATGTTATATTATTTAGTTGAACACTTGAAGTTCCTATTATTTAGTTCAAGAATCGCATTGTTGTGTAGCAAGGAATCACGATGTCTGCGATATAGAAACTTGATTCCAAACAACATGGATTCGCAATTTCAAAAAGTTTGGAATCAACGTTTCTCACAAGGAGAATCGCATTCTTGTATAGCTAAGAATCATAATGTCCGCGATATGGAATCTTGATTTCGACAATCCAGGAATCGAGATTCCTAGAATAGGTGGTATCGCAATCCGCAAAAAATGGAAACATGATTCCTTTATTTTAGAATCGACTTTCGCTTAGAGAAATGTCGAATCAAAATTCCGAAACAGAATCGCTACCCTCATAGGCGATTCGATAACTATAATTCATCATCATCATCCAACATCTCCATAGCATTCTCCATGTCTTTTGTTCTAAGGGGGTCACTTTTTTCTCATTTAGCAAATCTTTCCTTCAAGAATTGTTTGAACTTGACATAAACTTACTCATTTAGCCTCTTTGATTTAAACTTGTTTCTTTTCTTTGTATGAATCTGTATGAAAAATTGAAAACACATGTAGACACCCTATTTTAAAACTGACAAATTCAATGGTTTTCTAGCCTTAGACAGCCTTAGGACCACACTATAAACCATAGACCACTGTAGTCCATAGTTCCTGCCCTATGATCTAGAATCCTGTAAGACTACTAGTTTTGGTATAAAATCAACCAAAAATAGTAAAACATCGTGTTTTGACCCAAATTTTGGTATGCAACAACTTAAAAACCTAAAAATTTATGGGGGCGACACTACCCGTGTCACCCAACCCTCATACTGCCTTTTGACTTGGAAACGGATTTTAGAAGCTTTTGAACCTTCCTAACCAACCCTGACCAGGTTCAATGAACCTGGGCTGGGCGACACTGGTAGTGTTGCCCAAGCCTTTGACCACCAAAACTTATTGTTATGGGTTGTTACCTATTCCAATCAATTTTCAGCTTACATAAACACATTTCGTCATGAAATTTGAGAGACTTTAAGACCTGAGAGAAAACCTTGTGTGCTAACCCTAGAACTAGGTAAAACCTCTTGCAAACTTTAGCCATTAGACCTGCAACCTTTAGATTAAGAAAGTCATTCAACCAAGCCAACGCTTGGTCAACATTGAAGAGAGACACGGAGGATTCATGGTGGAAATTACAGCTGCGGTCTTGATATGCGCGAGGCCTTGAAGCCTTGGATTTGTCGGGCCAACTGGCTTGGCCAGGTATTTTTCTTACCCTCTCTTTCTTTTTCCTTCAGTCATTTTACTAGATTTAGGGTTTCTTTATCAGATTTATTTTAGTATTTCGTGCTCTGGATCAAAGTTAGCTCTGCCACTGATCTAAGAACAGATTTGCTCATGGTTTAAAAATTGAAAGTTGAAACATAAAAAAGCCAAACATGGTTTAAAATATATAATCAAGCTCTACCATGTTAATAAATTGTAAGCTATTTGTGTGGGAAGCGGGTGCTTGGTATGTAATGAGGACGGATGGAAAGGGTTGTCTGCAAAAAATTCATATACTTGCGTTGCATCAGATGAGTCTCATTTTCTCTCAGAAAATCAATTATTTTGACCATCTACCTCTTCAAAATCAACTGGTGTGCTTTATCCTTTAGTTATATTGTAAATGATTTTTTGGAGATGGACACTTGAATGATTTTTTAGATAAAAATGAGAATCAAAGGCATCTAATGAGGTATTGGTCATTCAGAAAAGAGAAGATGAGCTTATTGTTAAATTAATTTATTTGATAATTTCAAAAGCAATTTATTTACCTTTGTGTTTGGTGTCCAATTTTATGGTCTTTAAGGACCACTATCATTTTCCCTTAACCGCGGTGAAGTGGTGAAAAATCCTGCCCTTTTCCTCTCTTTGGGCCATCCCACATGTTATTATACATCATCATCATCATTATCGCTTTTTCCCAGCTAATTGGGGTCGGCTACATGAATCCTGATCCGCCATTGTACTCTATTAAAGGCCATACCTTCAGTGAGGCCGTAAGTCCCCATATCCTTTCGGACTACTTCCAACCACGTTCTTTCGGACTTACTCCTTGCCTTTTTTAGTTCTTCTACTTGAACTAACTTAGCACCTCCTAACAAGTGTTGTACTTGGTCGGCGCCACACATGGCCAACCCACTTAAGTCTACTCTCTCTCATCTTATAGCCTATTGGTGCCACACTCCTAAATTCTCCTGAATGGATTCGTTTCGAATTCTATCCCTTATTGTCTTGCCACTCATCCGTCTCAACATCCTCATCTCCACTACACTCATTTTATGGGTATATTGTTTTTTGCCCACCCAACATTCCGTCCCATAGAGCAAAGCTGGTCTCTCAGCTATCCTATAGAAACCTGCCCTTCAGCTTCATTGGTATGCGGCACATTATATTATACATATATCTTTTATTATTATCCTCTTTCCCTTTCCTTTGCCACGCTCATAATTATGTGGCTTCTCTCTCTTCATTATATATCTCACATTTATCCAACATGAAACTGAGAGTTGGATTAATATATGGGGAAGTGACATGAAGACAGAGAGAGAGTTTGTGACTTTGACAAAAACAAAGACTTTGTACTGTTAAGATAACAGTGGGAAGGGAAGAATGGAACGGAGAGCAAAGAAAAGTTGTTGGTTATAGAGAGGTCCATTAATCGTGACCTATTTGAGAGCAAGATCAGTGACACTGTGATTTTAAGCGACTCTTTGAGCATGCAACTTAGAGACTCAAGAAGAGTTTCCTAATCTGGCTGTATCTTGGGGCTGTTCTCGCGGGTACCATTTGCATCACGGTATCCAGCCGCGTTGAGGGCATCAAACACTTCGAAGAAAGTGAGCTCCACTTATGCCTTCAGATCCCAGACTACTTTTATCATCCTATAACCTCTGTAACTTGATCTGATTCGTATGGGAATTTGACTTGAACTGGGAGTATTTTATTTGTCATCATAAACTCTCAAACCAGATTGAATCTTTACAAGGTTTACTAATAACAAAATTTTCGGATATTTGTACAAATACTGACTCTGGTAAAGGGGAGGTTGTGCCAAAATTTCGAGGCAAGGGTGTTAGTAAATACTAACATTTACTCATGATCATAAAAGGTATATTATCTTTAATAAAACCTATGTGAAGAAACCATAGACCAACTTTAATTTCTAGAAGTCCAAATCTCATTTATATTATTTAGAGAAATACTCTGCCAGAGTTATTTGTGATTGGTAATAGGTGAATCATTTATTTTATAGTTATACTTGATTTTCCATATTTTGAGAATGCCGTATCAAGTTCCAGGAGGCACCTAAGCAGTCTTGGGGGTCCTGACCGCCCAGCTCCTAGGCGGTCACCAGGTTTTCAAGCAGCCTAGTGCCTAGGTTGAAGAATAGGGGCATGGGAATACGAGTAAATACATCATAAAATATTAGAAATCTCATAATCCTATTTGTTCCGAACCGTTGTAAATTTGTAATAGATAGACTACTAGTACAACAAAAAATAAAATATAATAGTAATTAATATTGGCACAATCCATAATCCATACTCCATAGACCATTCTCCATGCTCCATAATTCATATCATTCCATAATCCATAGTTTCATATAATAATACAACTATATAGGCATACACATAAGTGTTGATCAACATAAACTAGAAAATACGAAAAAGAAAATGATTCGTCTTAGATTCGAGTTAGGTGTCTTTAGTCAACATCAGAAAAAGTGGGGTAAACCTCATTATATGCATCAGAATCGAGTCCACCATCATCAGAGTCATCTCCCTCCTCAACGTAACGCTCGTTTTACTCTGTTTCTTCTAAATCTGTCTCTCCCTCTTCTTCTTGTATCCCGCTCTTACTCTGTGCAGATGAGGCCCTATGAGTCTTAGCTGCTTTACCTGGTACCTCTCCACCCTTTTCTTGCTTTTTGTGCTATACTGAACTCAAATATTACTTAATCTCCTTCCTGCTAGCCTCAAGAACATTTTTACATAGAGGAACATTCCCTTTAATACCGGCAAGGTGTTTCTTGAACCAGTAAATATCCTCATTAGTATCATTTTCACAATAATTACACCTTATACAATTTTTGCCATTTGGTTTTGGGCTATGACCATACTTCCAACCTGGATCACCACTTCTAAAAAAATCGGGAAAAGATATTTCCATATAACAAGGCTCCTTTTCTGGTTTTACTAAATTCAAATATTGTCTAATATCATCCCTAGTAGCTTCAAGAGCCTTTTTACAAGAAGCGACGTTCCCTTTAATACCGGCTAGGTATTTCTTGAATCGGTCAATACCCTCATTTCTATCTTTTTTCACAAAAATATACCTTATACACTTTTTATTATTTAGATTAGGGTTATAACCATAATTTCAACCCGGATCACCATTTCTTGAAGAACCAGAAATAGACTTATCCAAATGACAAGGTTTTCGTTCCTTTTTCTATTTACCGAACTCATATATTGCTTAATCTCCTCTCTAATAGCTTCATAAACAGTTTCTACAAGGGACAACATTCCCCCTAATACCGACAAGGTGTTTTTTGAACCAGTTTATACTCCCATTAGTATCTTTTTCGCAATAATTACATCTTGTATGATGTTTCATTTGGATTTGGTGGGTTATAACTATACTTCCAACCCGATTCACCACTTCTAGAAGAATCCAAAGAAGACATTGAAGTAACAAATAAAATCTCCAAAACAAATTTTAACTAATGTTTTTGCTTGATCTTGAATCTGCAATGTTTGAGATATTTTCCAATCTCAAATACGTCCCAAGAGCCCTCTAATATGCTTTAAAAAATCATCAAAATCAGATCTAAATAAAAAAGATGATGCTTTGATCGATTTTTTCAAAACTCTGAAATACCCAATTGATCTCTTAGAAATGTAAAAAGGTAATCATTTTCAAATTTTTTCCACTCTAATAGTAAACAAAGGGGTTTAGGTTACATAATAACCTAAACTCCCTTTTCCCCCTTATTTAGGGGTAAAAAGGACAAAAAATGCCATTTGTTTTCCCTTGGGAGGGGTGCAAGCCTGGGTGGCCGCCCAAGGCTGGGCACTGGGTAGCCGCCCAAGGCTGGGCTCTGGGCGCCCGCCTAGGTTTGGGCACTGGTGCCTAGGCAGCCACCCAAGGACTCCCCCTAGGCCTGGGCAATGCTCCCATGCCCTCTTGGCCCGTCTAGGCGCTAGTCGGGCTGCTTTTTGAAACACTGGTAACTATTGCTTCTAATTCTCTATGTAGTAATCTATGATCTTCTTGAACATGTTAGCCACCCAAACTCAAATGCTGAATCTGTGGATTTGCTGATCATCAATTTGTTGTCCCGAATATCATTGCTTTTGCACTTCTAATTAATTGTTTACGTTTAGAAAAAGGAAAAACAAAGAGTTGCCCCCTGACATCTCTAAGCATCTGCCTAGGTTACTGAAAAGAAAACAGGAACAGTGAACTGGGGTACAGCAACAGTAGTTGGAGTGGTCGCAGGCTTGCTCTATGGCGGTAGCAAGGAGGCTGTCGCATCGGTGGTGAGTTTTACTGATCCCTGTACTTTGTCTGATGTGGGTCTTTTCTTCAGTTTTTTGAGAAGTGACTCTGCAAAAGATTTGCTAGTTGATAAATAGAAAATCGTGAAGCCAGTTCCAGTTTCTGGAAGTACGAAGAAAAGTACAATGTTATAACTCGAGGAAAGAAATTCTTGGCCTTGGCAAAAAACTACAATTTTCAAGCATGAGTGGATGTGTTTTTGCACATGCGCGTGTGGTGGATGCCATAGTGGCTGCAAGCCCCCTCTTTCTTGCCATTTGTGTATCGTGGAGTTTCCTACCCACGTCGGTGTCCAAAGCTCTCTTATTTTTTCCTCCATTTCTTGAAAGCACCAGCATAACATTCTTGTTCTATGAATCATTGAGAAAACAGTGCCTCTATTTTCTTAGGTAATCAGTGAAATATTAGTAGTCAGTAGTTTCCAAAAAGAGTCTTATTGCATTGGACGTTGCAAAACTTATGGCCAGTGTGGTGTCAGAGCAAAGATGCAGAAGTGATGCTGAAGCTTGGTAGCACCCCTGACAAGCGAGAACAGTACAGGCTGATGAGGGATGCAATGGAGAAGAGGTTCATCCGTGTCACACGAGGGTCCATTGTGGGTGGCGTTCGCCTTGGAATGTTCACGGCGACATTTATTGGGTTGCAAAACGTCATAGCCGAGAGACGTGGGGTGCACGATGTCTTGAATGTTGCTGTAGCTGGCTCAGCGACTGCTGCAAGTTTTGGCCTCATATGTAAGTACTGAAATTGTCTCTTAAATGCTCATTCGCTTTGGTTCAATAAATATTCCTCTTTTAATTCTTCTAGGGAATTCTATTATGATGCTGCAAGTGGTACAAAATGGTATGTGAATGCTACTGATTTTAAGATAAATGTGAAAATAGTGGTTCTTGAAATTATGGCTGTTGTTCTGTTTCCAAGCAGTGAGAGGTGGTAGGCTGCAATTCTCACTACCCCTCTCTCTTCAAAGAGAGGGGTGGAAACTCTCTCCCTCTCTCTAAGTCTCTTATTCTGGAGCAATAGAGTGAGGCTGCAGTCTGCGGTATTCCCGCCCCCGCCAGCCCAACAAAAAATGAAATAAAAAAGAAACAGATTCTGTGTGTTGTATGTATGTGTGTGGGCAAGAGAGAGAGAGAGAGAGAGAGAGAGAGAGCAATGACAGCCACATATTTTGCTTGCGTAGGCTTTTGAATGATGTCTTCATTTTCGTTTGCCTATACTTGTTATTTTTTAAACTGTTGGTGCTCCCTGTATATCTTTCACCAATGACAGTTCTTATGTTATTTTCTAAAACGTGGTGGCATTTGTGTAGTTTACGCTGCATCTTTGCTAGCCTTGCTAATTTGCCCTCGGCTTCTTGTATTTTTGTGCGCTGTATGATGAATTATGACCCCATCTCTACTTTGGGCTTAATAGAAGGAAGTCATCATAATGTGATTCTCATGAATAGATGCTATTTGAAGAGTGTTTGTTCCAGGATAATCCAGATTGTAGGTTCAGTGAATAATGTGCTTCATGGCATAGTTGCAGGAACCTTAGGATAAGGCCACAGTCCCACCTTATGAACTTGAGAACTTAGAGGGAGTTGGGTTTGGAAAAATAGTGATCTCGCTCCCTATAAAATGGGATCTCAATCTACATCCTTGTAGAATCCCTCCAAGGCGAGGAGCTATAATATTAATCGATCTACTTCTCTCCTTGGTATTATGGATGTATTTATTTATAATATCACATAGTGGTATACTAGAATTATGGTATTAAAAACTACAGTTTAATATATCATAATAAGCCAATTTATGCTATTAGTAAATTGTGTTATTGTACTAAATTGGAGTACTATAATTATGTCATTGATAATAAGCTAAGATGTATGATAATGAATCGAGTGGGCATTAGCTCGATCCTAATTTTATTATATGCTAGTAATTGATTTCGTTTTATGTATAGTGGAGTTTAGACCCCTCCGAGTCAAAACCTTGACCCCGGTGACATGGGATCTCGTTCCCAAGTGTCTTTGGATCTAGCTCCTTAACCCTAGGAAGCTTTCACCTATGCTTCATGGTAGGACGCTTTCACCCATGCTTCATGGTACTTGTTTGTCCATGTGTTTTGCTGTAAGTGATCATGTTTTCAGACTTAAAAAAATTTCTGACAACCTGTTCATTTTGTGTGTAATCGATCTATGCTTCATGTTTGGGTGGTGTATGCATGTGTATACTGATGTGTATATATATATATTGGTATGTGTGTGTGTTCGTGCATATATGTATATATGCGTGCATACCTATCTTAATGGTTTATTTTCGCAGTGCCAGGATCTCTAATGTGGCGTGCTAGGAATGCCTTGATGGGTTCGTTTCTGGGGGCAGCCTTCTGTTTTCCTCTAGGTAATTTATATATTATGGTCGCATCTTTTTTGCCAGTTCTAATTCTCCTGCCATTGCCGTCTACTTGTGAATTGTTTTTTTAAAATTGTGATGTCTGAGTCTATTAATAAGATTACCCAATTATCAATGCAATTAGGGCATGTGTATATAGGGATGTATTTGGTGTTTCATTAAATGTTTTTTGTTGAAACTTATGATTTGAAGGTAGATTAGTGCTTTTTACAAGTTTTGGGAACCCACATGTTTCTTCCTTTTTCTACTGCATGTATAGGTTGGGTTCAGCTGAAGCTCATTGAGAAGGCAAATGAAACCTCCGAGTTACAAGAAAGTGGTGAATTGAGAGGCAGTGGTGGGGTTGGGGCTGCGATTGAGAGACTCGAAAGCAATCTAAATAAACAGAAAAACAAATAAGACTCTGTGGAAATGGAATAACAGAAGTGCCTAAGTGAAATATGCAAAGAGGCCCTACAGCATGGAAACCCACCCATCTCACCTCCATGAGTGCATATGCATTAAGCATGTGGTTATTAGCTCTCATCTTGAATGAACAGAGGGTGAGATAGGTGAGTGGATGATTTTTCCGAGCCCTGTGAGACATGTGATATAATCTTGGCTTTTCACTCGTACAAAACTATATATAGGGTTTTTTCGGAGCCCAACTGCTCAAGCATTTCATTTTGTTGCAGTTGAGTATTGTGAACCCTTCTATGCTTTCCTGAGGAACTGCTTTTTCCTTTCAAATTTTATGTTGGTATGGGGCTTGGATAAAAATGTACTGTTTAGCCACAATTTTGGAGCCTTGTACTCAAGTAAACCGACTAAGAAGCTCTTATTTGATGAGAGCAAACATAGAATTTCATCAACCGCAGCTTGGTAATATATTCTGGGAAAATTGAGAAAATGGTGGAGAATTTCTGTATCTAATCTGATTATGTCAGAGGCTTAGGCAGCTTGTCTTCTTTGGTGATTTTCCCGATTTCGATGGTGGGGTTCAATTTTTTTTAGTTATTTGTCACTTGTTTGGTTTTTCAAGAACAAGGTGATTATCCAAAATGTACACTGGAAGGTAAACATGCTAGACATGATGGAATTAAGGGAGAATGGAGGCCCTTCAGCTTCGGACGTTGTGTGGATTCTTTTTGGTGAGCACTGCAGTGCATGGGAGCTCTAACTAGACTATAATTTGAACTACGGGCAGTTGGGTCACTTCTCTTGTAGTGAAGAATTGATCCAAGGCCTAAGAGTTTGTTTGCTTGATCAGATGATAATGATGACTTATTTTATGAGCCACGAACAGTTGTAGGCCGGTCGGACATATTGACGCATCTGATGGCCCATGTTCACTAGTAGGGCCTCCAAATTTTTTAGGGAAAATCATATAGAGCTGTAGTTCCTTATATTATTGCATGGTAGACCATCCTTCCGTTTTTCTTTTAAGCGGTATAAAGAAACTCCTAATGATTTTATCATACCTTTTCGTCTTTTATGTCTTTGTTTTATTGACTTTTGATCATAAATATTAACTTCAAAAAAATATTTTTATACAATTTCCAATTTTTTTTTAATAGTTGAAAAGCGAAACGATGGTTAAAAAGGTTTTTGGGTTGAAATGGTATAAAAAAATTTGTTGACACTAATTTTTATGATCAAAAGTCAATTAAAGAGGAAGATAAGAGATGTGAGGGGGTGTGGTAATATCTTTAGAGATTCCGCTTGAAAGAAAAACGGAAGGAGAGTCTAATATGAGGAATTAGGGTTTTATATGAAAATTTCCCAAATTTTTATTATCGTTTCTTTGGTGTGCTTAGGTCTAGTTCATCTACCTTTAAAATTTCAGGTCCAGAGAATTATTTAGAAAAAAAATTAAAAATAAAACAGTGACGGTATATGTTGGTTGTTGGTACTATTCTGTTGTACTCTTATACTTCCTTATTATAAAACAAAGCTAATAGATCTGGTCCTATAATGAATAGTAAGCCTTGCTCTCAATTGTTAGATTTCAATCGGATGGTTTAAAATACATATGCCTATTTGAATTTTAATTTTTCTTCTATAAATTGGATCAAGATGAAATTTTGGATATATAAAAAAATATTTTATAAATTTTAAAATGACCAAATTACCCTTGAAATATGATGGGTTAATTTGATCGTTTTAAATTTTTTATATATTTTTTTTATATTTTTATGTGGTGCAAGATAGTGTCAAGTGTATGCTCCCAAAATTTTAAATAGCATTAATTTTTATAAAAAATATTAAAGTTCAAATAGTGACTTGTATTTTCAACCATCCGATCAAGATCTAATGATTGGGAGTATAACCTAAGCTACTATTTATTTTAGGTATGGACTTATCCATATCACATGCTATCCATAGTTTGCGTAGAGCAGGTTGGGGATACAAAAAAGTTTATATAAGGTTGCAACCTTAAAATATATAATTCAAGTGCACCTCAAAAATCCATTATTGAAGGTCGTATTGATGTTGGAACAGAAAAAAGATTTTGAACCCTAAAATAGTGTATCTTATAACAAATGTGGACCGTCTATTTTCAAGTATTCACAGATCTACTTGATTAGAATTATTTTTAGAGTTTGAGATCATATAACTACATATGTTCTTAAGCCATCTTAAAAAAAATTTACGTTTAAATTATATTTATGATAAAATTTGGAGGTGTAGCTTAATTTGATTGTTTAAGGTTGCAGAATCATACAAACCACCCCGAATATTAATTGCCTCATTGCAGGTTGAGAACAGAGTGGACAGATATTTGCTCCGCTCCAACAATGAAAAACTGGCCCGACTTTTCAATCCACGGACATATTGGATGGAAATGGAAGCTAAGAGCAACCAGGTTACCCCACCAATAAATCAAGGATCAGCGGTGAAGCTTACTTTATGAGTTAAATTGGGCCTTAGCTACTAGTATAATATTTTTTTTAAGCTATTAGCTCCCCACCATCAAATCATCATATCACCATCTGAATTTCAATCTTTTTTCTAGAAATCAAATAGTAATAAAGTTTTGGACGTGTCCTAAAAAATAAGGAGCACAATAAAAAATATTTCTTAACATATAAAATGACCAAAATACTTCTGAAAAATGACGCGGTAATTTGATCATTTTAAATTATTGAAAGTAATTGCTATAATGATATGAATTTTAAACCACACAATGAAATATCTGACGGCTCGAAGTTAATAGCTTATACTATATATTATAACTAGTAGCTTAAGAAATATATAAAAAATATTTCTTAACATATAAAATGACCAAAATACTTCTGAAAAATGACGCGGTAATTTGATCATTTTAAATTATTGAAAGTAATTGCTATAATGATATGAATTTTGAACCACACAATAAAATATCTGATGGCTGGAAGTTAATAGCTTATACTATATATTATAACTAGTAGCTTAAG